TCATTCTTTTATTATCATTTTACTGATTTTTTAAAAATATCTGGGCAGGGGCCGGTACTGTGGCGTAGCAGGTGAAGCGCCCTTTGCAGTGCTGGCATCCCATATGGGCGCTGGTTCAAGTCCTGGCTGCTCCTCTTCAGATCCAGTTCTCTGCTAAGGCCTAGGAAAGGAGAAGATGGCCCAAGTCCTTGGTCCCCTGCACCCACGTAGGGGGCCTTAAAGAAGCTCTTGTCTCCTGGCTTCAGATCGGCACAGTTCCACCTATTGCGGCCACCTGGGGAGTGAATAAGTGGATAGAAGACCTCTTTCTCTCTTTCTCCTCCTCTGCCTCTCTGTAACTCTGCCTTTCAAATAAATAAATTAATCTTTAAAAAAATTAAATATCTGTGCTTAGAAATTTAAAACAAAAATGGTCCTTCAATATTGGTAATTTAAGAAGCAATGCCAGGAGCCAGCACTGTGGCATAGCAGGTAAAGCCACCACTGCAGTGCCAACATCCCATATGGGTGCTGGTTTGAATCCCAGCTGCTCCACTTCAGATCCAGTTCTCCCCTTGCACTGTGTGGGAGACTGGGAAGAAGCTCCTAGCTCCTGGCTTCAGATCGGCCCAACTCTGGCCATTGCAGGCATCTGGGGAGGACGCTGGTGGATGTAAGACCTCTCTGTCTTTCTGTACCTCTGCCTTTCAAATAAATAACTAAACCTAAAAAAAAAAAAAAAAAGACAATGCCTAGGGGAAAAAACAAGAGGGATTAAAAAAGTTCATGGAAAATGCAATTTAAAGATAATGTGGGTCAGGAGTTCAGCCTACCAGTTAAAAACACCCGTACCCCTTACCAGAATGCCTGTGTTTGAGTTCCAGATCTACTCTCAATTCCTGCTTCTTGTTAATGTACACCCCAGGAGGCAGCAGGTGATGGCTTAGTCCCTGTTACCCACATGGGTGATCTAGTTTCAGTTCTTAGCTCAGGCCTCTGTAGGTATAGGTATCTGGGGAGTGAGTCAGCATATGAAAGCTCTTTCTATCTGTCTCTCTAATAATAAGTAATTGTACAAAAACAAACAAACAAACAAACATGAATTTTGCTTTCCTAGGTGCATTAGCAGAGAGCTGGATGGGAAGTGGAGCAGTCAGGATTCCGATCCTGCAGGCCAGGGCTTTAAGCCTGCTGTGCCACAGCGCCTACCCCTCCATTAACTTTCTAAAGTCCCCTCATATTACAGGCCACAAAGCTACAAACAACATCAGCAAAAGAGATGTGGGCAAGACCTATGGTGATGACAACAGGAGAAACCAATAAATTAAACCAAATGGCTGTGGAAGCAAAGGGAAAAGTAAAGGATGACAGTTGTTTCTGGTATGGGCAGGGGGTAGAGATAGTGATGTCATTCTCAGAGATTGATGTAGCTTTGGGAAAGGAAAATGTAGCTTCAGTTTTACAAATACTGAGCTTGAGAAATCTACGGAACAACTAAGCAGATATAATCAACACCTGTCATAATCAATATTCTTAATCCTGAATTTTACCAGAAATATGTCTAGTAGATTATAGAGCAGGAAATGCAAACAGTTAACATGCTGCATCTGTGGATATAACAGTTTCCTACTGGAGGGTATTATAGTCTAAAGGAAATGGTATTTCACGCAGGCTTTCTTCTCTGTAAAACAAAAATGCCATCAGAGTTTTCATAGAATGCAAAGCTCTTTCCTGGAGAGGACTCTAGCTTACAAACACTATTGTTATCAAAGGCTGCCAGGCTTATCAGCCAACTAATAGAAAACTATCAACTGTGTTAGATCAGAAAAGAGATTATCATCATTAATGCCAATTATTTATGTGTGTGCCTTATGCCAAACATTAAACACTTTACATATCTGAAATCATTTACTCTTCACAACAGTCCTGAGGTGGACATTACTATCATGTTCAGTTCATAGAAGAGGAAACTGAAGATGATAGCAAATGGCCCAAAGTCACTGAGAGGTAGTGTTAACACAGTTGCTGCTTATACAACTGACTGAATACAGGAATTTGTTTCTACAAATAAAATATGGATTTTTTAAGAGGAAGACGGGAAAGAAGACAGACTATGGTTTAAAACACTGGAACAAGTGCTATAGAAACCTGATCACAAAAATATTTCTTTAGTGATGGCACATTCCTGAATGAGAGAAGTCTGAATACTAAGATTTCATTGCTCCCAATTCTTTCTTAGAAAGGATTTTATGGCCCTGTCCTTTACTTTCTAGATAGCCCTTTTTTTTTTTTTTTAGTCATCTATGCCCTTGTGATCCTTGTACTGTATCAGGATGCTGTCAAGACTGCAGACTTTGGAGCTAAACTTCAGTACTGGCTGTAATCGCCTGTTTATCAATTTATGTGTTGAAATGCACACATTATCAATCTCTGTGCCTCAGAATCTTACAGGTAAAATGAGGATTTTAGTATCTATTTCACAAGGTTGTTGTCAGAATAAATTCAAATGACACACACAAGGAACTTACAACAGTATCTGGCACACAGTAAAGCTCAAACAATGTAACTGTTACTATCTACTTCCTCTAACAGCGTAATATGTCCCACATTTATGGTGCTCCAAGTTTCTGTAGAAACTGACTGCTGGAAAATTGAACACTTCCTTTCTGTTAAAACATATCACATGGGGCCATTCTCCCTCTTCCCTGCCCTGTCCTACTGTAGGCCCTAACATAGATTTCACAATTCTGGAATTCTGTGGCAATTACCACAAAGCCAGCTGTAATTTTTATAAACATCTGTCCCTCTCTTACTGAAAAGTCCTGCCACCTACAAATAAAGAACCTGCTCTCTTTCATATAATCTAAAGGGCCCTTAACAAAAATCTCGCTTTAACCTCTATTCTAAGGTTCATCTTTGGTCACTTCTCTGCTTAGTGACAGCCATAACACATGGGTCAATTTGTCTGAAACAGGCTATGAAAAATCTTAACACCTAATATATCTTGATTTACAATACAAATAGAACCTGAGAATCTAATCAGCATTTGTAATAATGCAACAATAAATCAGAATAGAGAAATTCAGTTTCAAACCAAATTTGTAAGCAGCACCAACATTTTGATCCAAATGTTAATAGCGTTTCTTGCTTGGACAGCACTGCTTGAACGTGTCATTGAGTTTTAAGATATAATACCAGAAATATCAGAAGTTTAAACCCTGCTTAACAAATTGTGCATTTTCCTTAAATTATTTGGCAGGGAAGGAGGATGCTAATTCCCTAGGGACTGAAATAGCACAAAGAGTTCCTTCTTGTTGGTGTCACAAGTCCAGTTATTCATTTACTTCATTATCTGTGAAGGGCCCACTAGTTCTGGGGGTACATCAGTTTCTTCTTTCATGGAACTTACATTCCAACAAGAAACTACACAGCAAATACATGTTGGATGGTTTGAGAGATGCTGATAACTAATAAGGCAAAGAACTAAGTGAAAAAAGTAAAGGAAGGAAAGGAAAATAGTGGTGGTCCACTTTAGGGTAGTCAGAGACAAGTCTCTCTGATACAGCAGTAGATGACAGATTGAAGGAACTGAGGCAGACATTCAAGCATATGCAAACTATTCTACATGGTGAAGCCAGCAAGTGCCAAAACCCTAGTTTGATGTGTTAAATAAACCACAAGGAGGGGCCCAGAGCTGTGGTGTAGTGGGTAAAAGCCAAGGCCTGTAGTGCCAGCACCCCATATGGGCACCGGTTCAAGTCCCGGCTGCTCCACTTCCAATCCAGCACTCTGCTATGGCCTGGGAAAGCAGTAGAAGATGGCCCAAGTCCTTGGGTCCCTACACCCACGTGGGAGACCCAGAAGAAGATCCTGGCTCCTGGCTTCGGACTGGCACAGCTCCGGCTGTGAACCAGTGGATGGAAGACCACCCCACCCCCGCCTCTCCCTCCCACCCTCCCTCTGCCTCTGCATATGCCTCTCCTTCTTGCTCTGTGTAACTCATTCAAATAAATAAATAAATAATTTTTAAAAAGATAAACCACAAGAATACCACTATGGCTAGACAAGTTATTGGTTAGTGAGGGGAGAGTGGCAGACCGTGAGAGACAATCTGAGCCAGATAAGGGGAGTAGTCTTCAAAAGTTTCATATTATGAAAGAACTCTATATGAATTACAACATTCTTCCAGCAAAATAAACTTATCCTTCTATTCCATTTTGGATAAACTTTTTGAAGTACCCTCCTACAGGCTAAGGATTCTGGATATTATTCTGAAATGAGAAGGCCAGTGAGTCATTTTAAGAGAGATGACGGCTAAGATCAGACACACAATAGGAAAGAACATCTCTGCCTCGGTATCAGCTAGAACAAAGCAAGAAGAGGCAGTGAGAAGTCAGGAACCGTCTGCACCTTAAGCTGGTGCCAAGAAACACGATAAAGAGAAGTAATATAGACACTTCATGGCTGACGTTCTCAAAACACTCACTCATTTCTTCCTTTCTATGATTATGAAACATCACCAAAGAGAGTCAAAAGAGAGGCACCTACCAACTGTTATTTGTATTGATTCCACCTTAATCACCCACTAAGCTTCCAATCACTACTCTCTGGTCTCTAACCCCCAAACACACAAACGCACCTACTGCCCAAGAAAAGTCACGCACACCACCCTTCCTCCTCTTAACTATTTGGCCTTTTGCTCCTCGCCCGCGATGAGACTTGCCTCACTCCTGTAATTTCGAATTCTTCCTCTCCTTTCATCCTTTGCTACTGCTTCTAGGAAACAGCGGCAACTTCGCTTGATCTACTTATAACAGTGATCCCGGAAATATCTAGTCAAAAAATACAGAAACCTAAAATTTCAGCGCCCGTTCTAGCAACGCCAGTTCCCCAGATCCACTCATTAAACCAAAGCGATCCCTCCGAGGCCCTGCCAATTTAAAACCCCGGCATCTAGCGACAAACGCGCTCGCATCCCTTTAACTCTGCCCGGCCGCCAAATCTCAGCCTTATCCCATTACCTCCACTGTCGGAAGCATCTTTCACCTCCTCTTCCAGCTCTGATGCTATGACTTTGGCAATCATTTTCACCTTCTTCTTCTTCTTTAGCGAATTTTTCAGCTTCTTCCCCGCACTCACACGTGAGCTCGCAACGGCCGCAGCCATTTTTCTCTCACCGGAAGTACCCCTCAGAGTTGCGTCCGGGGGCAACGAAAGGAACTTCCGCATGTAGTTCCGCAGACAACAGTTCCGCGGCAGGGCCAGCCTGCCTGCGGTTCAGAGCTGGAACCTGTCAGAACGTAGATTGGGGAAACGTATAAACCTGCCGACGTTTTTGCATGAGGTCGGCTCCAGAGCAAAACTCAGTGGCTGTACACTCTCGGGCGATTCTTCCGCCAGCTCGCCTTTGCCCTGGTCCGCCGCCCAAAGCGGCACCAACGCAGCTCCTTTCGCTTTGATGTCCCCTTTCGAGTGCTTCCCCCGCTTTTGCCTTGTTAACGTTAAGTTTGGGGTGCTCCACCAAATGCTTGTTCTGTGCCCGCGAAACTCGCCCGCAGCTCAGAAACGAGGGAAAATCCGTTCGGGAATCGATCATTATGATTCTATTCTCCTGTCTCCGGAAAGATTCCCCACACGCGAGACCTGCCTGGAAACTTTATCAGAAACTCTCTCTGATTAACTCTTCCAGCGGTTTCGGGCTAACTTCTTTCTTTTAGGCCCTCTCGCTGGACGCGGACCCTCTTCCCGCGAGGCCCCTGCGTCCATCCTGCGGCCGCCTTGTGGAGTGGCCCGTCAACTGCTGTCAGCTCCTGATTCGTTGTAATCTTTTTATTAACAATAAGTGTACCTAGTTCGGGGCACAGTGTGGCACTTCAACATTTCCCCTTCTTTGACATTGCAGCGCCTTCTGTTTGTTCATGCGATGTATTTTAGGTTATTGTGAACTATAGTCTCCCCACTTTTTCCACTAAAAAGTTGGCTGTTTGAAGGTAGGAGCCATTTCTCATTCACTATTGTGCCTGCAAGACTACCATCGGGACTTGGCCTGTATTTGGAGCTCAAAAAATATTTTTAGAGGGGAGGGAATGAATGAATGAATGGCAGAATACAACTACTGATGAGGTTAATGAGTCAGAGGGATAAAACAGCAAGTATTTACACGATGCTTTGTAGGACAGGCGTGTTCTAAAGGTTTTCCCTAAGTTTATAGTGTTTTGCCTGTAGAGATTCTTGATTTTTAATACCCAAAACATAACAAAAAAAATCCTCATTTTAACAAATTATGGTTGATTTCTTTTTTGACAGAGTTAGAGAGAGAGAGAGAGAGAGAGAGACAGAGTGAAAGGTCTTCCTTTTTCCATTGGTTCACCCCCCAAGTGGCCACTATAGCCGGCTCACTGGGCTGATCCGAAGCCAGGAGCTAGGTGCTTCCTCCTAGTCTCCCATGCGGGTGCACGGCTCAAGCACTTGGGCCATCCTCCACTGCCTTCCCGGGCCACAGCAGAGAGCTGGACTGGAAGAGGAGCAACTGGGACTAGAACCCCCGGGGTGCCAGTGCCGCAGGCAGAGGATTAGTCTAGTGAGCCCCGGTCCCGGCTTATGGTTGATTTTTATATAAAATATTTTATATTCACATTTTAAAAACCTAATATATTAGGGGAAAACAAGTTCAGGGAAAATCACATCCCAAATACAGTCTATGAAAATAAAGTTCCCATGTGTGTATGCGCCATGTTCAATTTGCTTAATCCTCCGCCTGGGCACCGGCATCTCATATGGGCCCCGGGTTGTAGTCCTGGTTGCTCCTCTTCCAATCCAGCTCTCTGCTGTGGCCCGCGAAGGCAGTGGAGGATGGCCCAAGTGCTTGGGCCCCTGTACCCACATGGTAGACCAGGAGGAAGCACCTGGCTCCTGGCTTCGGATCAGCGCAGCTCTGGCTGTGGCGGCCATTTGTGGGGTGAACCAATGGAAGGAAGACCTTTCTCTCTTTCAGTCTCTCTCACTGTCTATAACTCTACCTGTCAAATAAATAAATAAAAAGAAAGAAAAATAGATTCCCGCATAAACTTTTGAAAACTGCAATTTTTTGCTAACAAAACGGATGTACTTTAGAGGTTCTTCTTAGGTTGTTGCTAGTGCCTAGAAGCTCCCAGCATCCTACTCAGTGTGATCCTCTCAGTGTAACTATGCTGTGGTCCTAAACCTATTTCCCGTTGTCTTTTCATATTTAGCACTTGTTTTTGCCTAATGTTATATAATGAGCTCCAATCAAATCTGAGAAAGCACTGAAGAGAATTGCAGAGAAAGAAACAAAGTGAGAGAGAAAAAGTATTGCACTGGTAGAATGGGAAAAATATTCCTCCATATGAAGCGTGAAAATCTTGCATTTCTTTCATGATACTAGTTGATGACCTGGAAATTTCTTTTTTTTTTTTTTTTTTTATATGAAGGGCAGGGAGGGCTAGGGAGGAAGAGCGAGAGCTCCCATCTACTAACTCACTCTCCAAATACCTGCAAAGATCAAGAAAAGTCAGGAGCCTGAAGCTCAAGCCAGGGTCTCCCATGTGGTGACAAAAACCTGATTACTTGAGCTATCATTACAGCCTCCCATGGTCTGAATTAGTAGGAAGCTAGAGACAGGAGCTGGAACTGGGAATCAAACCCAAGTATTCCAATATGGGATTTGGGCATCTTAACCCCTAGGCTAAATGCCTGCTTCCCACCCCCAAAAAAATTATGTTTGGGAAATTTTACATGTTAATGTGATAGTTTATTTATATATGGAAAGTATAATATGTTTAGCTGCAATTTAATAACTTGCTGGGGAGGGATGGTTGATTTGTTACTCAAATTTCTCTTCTTTAAAATAATACATGAGTCAGTCCATAAAGCTGATGGAAATTGAATTAAAAGATAAGTTTATCTTGGTACAAAAGTTTTTTGAAATCCATGCATAGTTGTTCCATAATAAACATTTTCCATGAACCTTTCAAAGACCCTTCATAAAATAGGCTCCATGAGTTTATGTATTTTCATTTTTTAGTTGAAAAGCAGAGAGATAGGTCTTCCATCTGCTGGTTAACTCCCCAAATTTCCACAACAGCCTAACATTCTAGCTGATTTTGGCTCAATCTGGGTCTCCCACATTAGCTGCAGGACCTAAGTACTCGAACCATCATCTGCTGCCTCCCAGGTTGCTCATTAACAGGAAGCTGGAATTCAGAGCAGAGCCAGGACTTGAACCTAGACATTTCAATGTGGGATAGGGACATCTTGAATGGCATCTTAACCTTTGTGCCAAATGCCCAGCCCAGCTCCAAGTTTTTAATCCAGAAGGCTCATTTTTGGAAATTGATTAATGCTAAGGGCATGATACCTGTATTAATTTCCTTAATTTTCACAATTAGCTAGTGAGTTAGGTGCAATTATTGTTCTCAGTTTAAACATGAGGCAGTTTAGGCACAGAATAAATAGCTGCTCAAAATCACTTGAAAAGCACTGAAACTTGAAAACCATTGCCTACTCAAGTGTTATATTTAGCACATAGAAAGCAAGTAGTAAGAATAAGCAATGGAAAGTTCTGACAAGTACTCAAATGCATAAATTAGAAAGCAATCTATGCTTAGAATGATTGATAGGATTCAAATAGAATGTGTATGTTGAAAATAACTGAAATAACTTATAATCTTGTCTGAGAGTTTTATAAATAAAATGTGCTAGTTATCAGCTTATTGCCACATAGCTTCAAATTCACCCTTTTTGGCTGCTCTCTGAAAATGAATCTGGGTTCTATAAATATTTTTCCTTTGCCTGCCAGCCAAACAGTAAGCTTTGTCAGTAGAGGGCACTGGAGTGACATTTTAAGAAGAAAGGATCTTCCTATTAGTCTCCAGCATTAGACCCCTAAAGTGAACATGTATTCTCCAGCACTAGACTTCTGCAGCCTAGATGGCTCCCCTAGGATCTTGATCATGCAATGAATAGTGGTCAAACAAACCTGGAAGCTAGCAGCTCTCCCAACAACCCCCTTAATAGCAGGATGCTTCTAGCAGGACAACTGCCCATCACAGCTTCTCCCAGAACCTGGAAGAGCACTGATTTCCAACAAGTTCTGGAAAGAGGAATTCTAGCAAGTTCCAATGAAGCAGCACTATAGCAACTCCTTTGCCACCATATGCCTTCCAACAATATCTGGACCTTAGCTAGGAGTCAGAAGGAATGGGCCTCTTCCTTCTGGGCAGTCCTTGACCCCTGGGAATAGTCACTGCTCCTTATATTTGCTATTATTATATTCTTTAGCGTTCACTTTACTTTTTATTTGCCAATTCCATTTTACTCTAAAATTTGGTTAATAATCCTGTTAATGATTCTTTTTTATTAAACTTTCCTATTCAAGTTGAAAGATACTAAAGTTGAGGGACTAATACTGTCTGATTTCAATACTGGTTATATGACTATATTAATCAAAATAGTGTAGTAGTGTCAAAGTAGACAAATAGAGCAATTGAACAAAATAAAGAATCAAGAAATAAACAGGCAAAATTATGGAAAATTAACTATTGACAGAGGTATAAAGTCAATTCAACGGCAAAGGGAGTTTTTCCAACAAATGTTGTAACAATTGAATATCCATATACAAAACCCTGCACTTCAATTCGTGCCTCACATCATAGGTGAACACTGACTCAAAATGCAATAAACATAAAAGTAAAATATGCAATTTTAAAACTGTGGTTAGGCCAGCGCCGCGGCTCGCTAGGCTAATCCTCCGCCTTGCAGCGCCGGCACACCGGGTTCTAGTCCCATTCAGGGCGCCGGATTCTGTCCCGGTTGCCCCTCTTCCAGGCCAGCTCTCTGCTGTGGCTCAGGAGTGCAGTGGAGGATGGTCCAAGTGCTTGGGCCCTGCACCCCATGGGAGACCAGGAGAAGCACCTGGCTCCTGCCTTCGGATCAGCGCGGTGTGCCGGCCGCAGCGCACCAGCCGTGGCGGCTGTTGGAGGGTGAACCAATGACAAAAAGGAAGACCTTTCTCTCTGTCTCTCTCTCTCCTCTCTCTCTCACTGTCCACTCTGCCTGTCCAAAAAAAAAAAAAAAAACTGTGGTTAGAAACATAGAAGAAAACTATCGTGTTCTTGGGTTGGGAAGATTTCTTAGATAAAATATCAAAATGATGATCTATAAAATACAAATTGGCAAACTGGATTTTATTAAAATTTAACATTTGTGCTTTGAAAGACAACATTTGGAGAATGAAAAGACCATCCATAGGGGCCAGCACTGTGGCGCAGCAAGTTAAAGTCCAGGCTTGCAGTGCCAGCAT